AATACAACCCCGAGCCCCAAAATGTCTCAATACAACCCCGAGCCCCAGGACCAACTTTGTGGCTCAAACCTACCTCTTCCAAGTTTCATCAGCTTTGGATACTTGCCGTGCCCATAGGAACAGAAGGGGTTATTCCAGTTTCCCAGGTACCCAGAGTACTTCACTGTGCAAAGGGAGGAGTGGGGAGAAGAGAAAAGCAAGAGTTTGGTTTCACATCCCGTGACAGCAACATCAGGAGCGCACTCAGGGTTGGATTTGCAACACCCTTTTTTCCTGCTTCCCTTTTTTCCTTTTGGTGTGGAACAGCAGAGGCAGCACAAACCCTTGTGTTCTTCACCAAAAACCTGGTGCCACCCAAGCAGCCCAGTGGTGCTGTGTGTTTTAACAACATCCCCAGACAAAGCAGCTGCTTCACACTCCTGAGCTAATTAAGAGATGTGATTTTTGTGCTTTTAAGAATTGGAAACTTTAGTTGAGCAAATTAAAATGCCCCAGTTATCTGCAGAAATACTTAACAAAGCATTCCCTAACCAAAGCTGGAAACCTGGAGAGAGGAACAAAGGGGAAAACATACCCTCCAAGCTGTGAATCTGTGACTCCAGTTCTCCTCAGTTAGAAAATACACTGTAATGGGTGTTCTCTGACCCAGCACCAGCCCTGAAACCACTTCAGGAACCAATTCCAGCTTCAAACTTCTCAGTGAGCACAGGTGGGCCCTGGAAATCCTGCTTTCCTCAAGGTCAAGATGCCCTTTCCTTTAATCTGTCAGCCACAAGAAGTTACACAGGGTATCCCAAGTGCTAAAACACTGATAAGGAGAACAGACAGTCTCCAAAACAGAAAGACACAGCACTTTGAAGTGCCTGTCCTGGTCTTTGCCAGCCACCAGCACCTCAACATTACAGGCTTGGGGCTCTTCCACAACAGGCTCTGCCCTCTTTGTCTCCCCCAGCACCTTCCTCTGGCTCTGCCACCCCGACCAAACCTGGCACTGAGGCACAGGGAACAAGGATGGGCACCACACCCTCACTGCAGCTCACACTGCCAAGGAGTTTAAGCTTTTAGTCCTGGTGAACGTAGACTAAACTTTTTAAGTGCTATTTAAAAGCTGCTCAGGGGCCTGATGTACCCATGAATTCGGGCACCACGTTGCTGCTGAGCACCCCCATTAACCCCCCGGGGCGGCCAGGCCGAGCTCAGGCAGGACCCAGCACCAGGAGGGGGACAGAGAGCCCTGGGGGGCTGCGGGAATCATGGAACGGCTCGGGCTGGAAGGGACATCAAAGACCACGGAGAATGAGATCATCTCATTCTCAGTCGTGCCATGGGCACAGACACCTCCCACGAGCCCAGGGTGCCCTAAGCCCCGTCCAGCCTGACCCTGGACACTTCCAGGAGTGGGGCAGCCACAGCTTCTCTGGGCACCCTGTGACCCTCTCGCGGCCCACGGGAGGCTCCGGCTCCCCAGGCCCGGCTGTACCTGCCACGGAGGCGGACAGCGGCACGAGCTGTCCGGTGCCGGGGCGCAGCTGCTCCTTGCGCACCCCCCCATTGCCGGTCAGGTCCTGCGGGGGGGGGGGGGGGGAGCCGGGGCTGCTGCCGGTCCCGAGTCACGGTCCGGGTCCCGGTCCCGGTCCCCCCTCGGCCGCCACCTGCCCCAAGGCCTGGCTCCTGCCTCGCCCGCCATCATGGCCACGGCCACGCCCCCGCGCGCTCCGCCAATCACCGCCCGCCAATGGCAGCGCCACCGACCAATCGCGCTCCGAGCAGCGGCCCCTGCCCGGTGCTCCCGCTTTAGAGACACGCGAGCAGGGACACGCCCCTGGGAGGGGCTGGGCCAATGGGAGGCGGAACGTCACGGGGCGCCGCGGTGCACGCTGGGAGGTGTAGTTCAATGCCGCCATTGCCGCCATTTCCTTGGAACAAAAATCCCCTCCGAAGAACAACAAAAAAGACAGAAAAAAACCCCAAACAACAAAAATCAACAAGAAAGAAAAAAAAAAAAAAAAAAAAAAAAAGAAAAACCCCAACAGCAACAAACAACCCCCCCAAAAAAAAGCCAGAAAACACCCAAAAACCAACAGCAAAAAAGAAAGAAAAACAAAACAAAACCAACGAAAAAATCCCAAAGCACCAACAACAAAAAAAAGAAAAAAAAAACAAACAGAAACACTCCCAAAACCAACAAAAACCCCCTAAAACCAAAACAAAAAAACCCCCAAAAATCAAAACAAATAAACAAAAAACCCCCACAAACCCCCAATCCAACCAGTGAACCAACCAAACCAAATCAGATCTACAAAAAACCCAAAATCCAAACTGCGGGAAACAGGCTCTCTCAGCATTCTCGAAAGCCATGAGGGTTTGGACAGGCAGATGCCAAACTTGCTGGAACAAGGGGAGCAACTGGGGAGGAGCAAAGGCGGAGTATGCAAACTAGGACCATACAGTGAGAACAAGGGGAGGAGTATATCTGTACTCCAGTGCAGCAGCAACTGGCCAAAAGAAATGCAGGGTTCAAAGGCATAAACGATGAAAGAGAATAATACAATGACATAGTATAATAACATAACAAAAATCCTAAAACACATTTGCTCAAAAACTGGATCCCAATACCAAACTGGTTTGGAACAAATTTGTGGGTTCATCCTTCTCCAAGCACCTCTGACATGATACACAAGCCAAACAAGTGAGGATGCAAAATAAAAGCAGGAAGAAACCCACGTTCTTGAGATGTTTTGAGGTCACCACAAAAGAACGTGAAAATGAGTTTTTTACTCCCAGAAGGTTGTATTCTGAGGAGAGGAAGGAAGGAAAAGGAAGGGAAGGGAGAGGAGAAAGAGGCAAGGAAGGAAAATGGACAAAAAAAAGAAAAAAAACAAACAAGGGAAGGATAAAAGAGAACTCCCTCAGTCTCTTGCTCGCTTCTCCCACCCCATCCCATCCCCCAAAGCTTGGAGAGAAGTCATCTCCATGCCCAGCCTCCCATGGGATGCTAAGAGCGAAGCCAGTGGGATGCTCACGAGCCAAACACCTCCATGAACCAGTTTATTACACAAGAAACCATTTATTTACCCAGAAAAAAAAATTCCACACAGGAGGAGCAGTGCTTGCTTCCCTTCTGGTCTTTTCCAAAAGGATAAAAGGTTTTCACCAGACAACAAAAAAAAAAACAACCAACACTGGTTTAACCAGAAATAAGTAGTTAATAAGAAAATTATCTTCACTTAGTCGATCTTAAAGTTATCTTAGACCTGGCTGATAGCAAAGTGCTTTGGTGAGAACGTTCCTAGGGGGATGAGGGAAACCCCAGCAGCATTTGGGAGCAGTGGCTGCAAACTGGAGGCAAACACTGGATCTTATGTCAGCTCCTGCCCAGTCGTGTGGTGTATGTGCCCGGTGGGCAGCCCTTCCCTGGGGTGTGCCCTGTCCTTGGGGCAGGGTGGGGGGACAAGAGACTGCCTGGCCTCTCCCTGTGGGCAGGGAAGGGCCTCTGGAAGGGCTGAGGCTGCAGGAGAGGAACAGCTGGACTCTCCTGTGGGAGTGTAACCATCCTCTGCTACCACCTGAACGTGCCTAAATGAACACTCCCACAACTCCTTAATGGAATTGGTAAGGAGATTTTATTGTAGGGTTTGCCCCAGACAGGGTACAACTGAACAGGTCAGGAGAAAGAACAGAAAAGCCTCGAACATAAAATGACTCCAGCCTTATATCCTCGAGGTAGGGAAGGTGCCAAAACAAGGGGAGGAGTGAAGGCGGAGTATACATATTATGACCATATAAGGAAAAAATATAAATATGCATAATAGTGCAGCAAAATTCAACCAGTCAGAACCCAAGAATCACATACACAGGGAAAAAGGTATAACATAAGCAAAGCCACAGTGACAATAAACCAAATACAGAATTTATAATTTTCAATCCCTCAACTCTCCATCCCACTGAGGGGCTGCTGGTCCCACTGCCTGGGGTTGATTGGAGAGAAGCCGAGGGATGTCTGTGGGGTCCTGTGGAGGGCACGTGAGTGGTGGGGTCTCCAGGGGGTGTTTCTGTGTGAGCAGAGGGAGCACCTGAGGCTGGTCCTCCTTTTTGGGGTCCTGGGGTGCCTGGTGGGTCCCAGTCTGACCCCTGAGCTTCCCTCGGCTCACCAAACTCCCATGTCCTGCAGCCCCAGCTCAGGACACGGTCTCCCCTTTCCCTGGGGAAATGGCCAATTCCCTGCCCCACCACTCCTTGTCCTGTCACTACGGTTCCTTACACAGAGTCCCTCTCCAGCTTCTTGCAGGCCCCTTCAGATCGTGGAATGGGCTGTGAGGTCTCCACACAACCTTCTCTTCTCCAAGCTGAGCAGTCCCAGCTCTCAGCCCGTCTCAGCCAAAGCTGTGTGCAGGGTTGTCCTCTCATGGAAACCGTGGTGCTGCAGAACAAGCTCCAGCAGCACAATAAAGTCCTTCCCCTCTCCACTAAGAGCATAAAACACCAGCCTTGACCTCAGCAATCCCCGTTCCCAGCCTGCCAGGCTGTCCAAGACACCTGAAACATGGTTGGCCTGCAAGGATCTCCCTATGGAAAAGCTTGTGTGGTAGTTTGGTCTGGGCCTTCCTTGGTGACCAGTTTGTGACCAAGGAAGGGCCCAGATTTACCTAGTATTCCCTACGATTTTTACGTAAGCTGGGTTATAAGAGGAAAGGAGGAAAGGCCTTCGCTCTCTTTCCTTCTGGCTGCTTGGAGGTGCAGGTTCCCTGCTGTTGAGTCTGCCGTGTTGGGGAGCGAGGCCTGGTGAGGCCTTGTCGACCTTGGGAGGCGGAGGTTGCCTGCGATCATTCCAGAGCGACTTTCAGTTGTCCCAAGGAGAGTAGTGAGATATTTCTTTGCTAACTCTTTTAGTTGCTAGATATTGGGCTACTAATTGGGATATATATATATATATTTTATTAAAGGTTTTGTTCCTTTTCCCTTCTGCCTCCCCTTTCCCTTGCGAAATTGCATATACCTTGTGAAATTGTATATATTTCAATTGTATATAACCGTAACATAAGTGTAAATATATTTATGTATATCACTTTAGCTGTCTCTCTCTCTCGTTTCGGGTTTTCTTAGTTGTTTTTCTCCCTCTTCTCCCTGAGGTTTGGGTGTGGGGGATACGGGGAGACTTCTTGTGGTAAGGTTTGGAGACTTCGCAGGGAGCCAGCTTCGAACCATTATCAGCTTGTCCGCCTGAAAAGCGTGAGCCAGGGTCTTTGTGGCACATCCTTCCCAACAAAGAAGGTTTGAGTTGGGTGGGCGTCCGGGATCCGGCTCCGCCTCCGCGCCGGGGGAAGCGGACGCTTCCCCCGGCGCGGAGGCGGAACCGGATCCCGGTCCCGAGCCCTCATCCCGCGCTCGCCCCCTCGGGGCAGGAGGATCGGCGGAGCGCACATGGCGCTGTACAGCGCGGCCGCCGCGGTGCTGGACGGGCTGGAGCGCGGCCAGGGCGGCCTCAAGAGCCTCGTGTACAACAGCGGCTTCCCGGGTCGCCCGGGGGGGCGGGGGGGCCCCGGGAGGGGGGGGGGGGGGGTCGGACCCGGGGGTGTGGGGGAGCCCCGGGGTGTGCGGCGATGCTGAGCCCTGCCCGCCCCGCAGCATGTCCGGCAGCTGTACGCGCTGGTGTCCGAGACCCTCCGCTACGCGCCGGTGCTCGAGAAGCTGCTGGATGGAGCCGCGCTGCTGCAGGCCGAGAAGAAGCTGCCCCCGCAGCTGGCCAAGGTACGGGGGGAAGGCGGGGTGTCCCCGGAGCCGTGCGGTCCCGGGGCTGGGATGTCCCGAACCCGTGGGGTCCCGGGGCTGGGATGTCTCCAACCCGAGGGGTCCACGGGCTGGGATGTCCCAAACCCGTGGGGTCCTGGGGCTCGGATGTCCCGAACCCGTGGGGTCCCGGGGCTGGGATGTCTCCAACCTGTGGGGTCCCGGGGC